AAATCTCAAGGGCCTCCACCACTGAACAGGTGTCAGCTGACTGCTTCTGTGACACAACAAGTGATGGACCCCCACCCAACATCAGTTTCTTTCTGTCTGGCGATGGTGTCACAGACCAACACAGCAACATGCCAAAGACTTTTTCCAGCTAACCCATGGGCCTATGTGTTACTTTAAGACAGACACCGTAACCTCCCCCCTCTCCTTCCAAATGTAGGAACAGCCCAGCATGCGCAGGACAGTCAAAGATTCACTGAAGCTGTAGAGTCAAGATTTTTTAAACACAAATAGCGTTAGGCACTAAGAGGGCACATGAAACAGGAAAACAACCATTTAATTTCTGTAGGGACTACAGTCCAAGAAGCTTTCCCCTTGGTGATTGCTAGAAAGTCACTTGACAATTCTAAATACAATAAATAGCATGTCAGAGCATCCCTTGGCTTATCTGCTGTATTAGATAAGCGTTCATTAGAACCTGCCATGAATTAAATTGGCGAATACATTAAAATAAATTCGGAATTATGTTTTGGGACTATAAAATGCCATATAAGGGCCTTTGTTGTTTATTATATTTTTACCCGGCTATGAGGATATTGTAGCCTCTAGATTTTAAGTGCAGCCCAGACACTACCTTTGTCTCCTGTTCTTGTGTAAATCTTTGGAACGTGGGTTGTCTTGGGTTTGATTTCCAGGCTAGACACAAAATGAAACCGTTATGAGTTCAGCAGAAATGACACTTTAACATGCAGTTGTTGTCAAGCTGATGACTGATTTATAGAGATGGCCGGACACCACTGGTCACTGCTGTTACCGCCAGACTCTCCAAGCAGTGCCCTGGTTACTGCCCCCATCTCCCCCTTTCCTCTTAGCAGAGAGCTCGGGAAGGCAACTGGGGCCAAAGGGCGAGTTTTGCTTTGGCCCGCTCTTGGGCACAGCCCGGTTCACGCTGCCACGGGCCGGTTCGGGGGGATCCTAAGAAGTGTCGCATTTTCCTTTCAGATGAAATATTGTGTCAGACACAGGAGCGACTTTACATGGGGGGGGGGGAGCTCGGCGCAGCCCCGGGGGGCGGCCCAGGCTCGGAAGGGGGGAGCTCGGCGCAGCCCCAGGAGGCGGCTCGGGGGGGAGGAGCTCGGCGCAGCCCCGGGGGGCGGCCCAGGCTCGGAAGGGGGGAGCTCGGCGCAGCCCCAGGAGGCGGCTCGGGGGGGAGGAGCTCGGCGCAGCCCCGGGGGGCGGCCCAGGCTCGGAAGGGGGGAGCTCGGCG